TGGGATTTTTTTCAGGAGTGGCTTATTCATAGCCTCTTTTAACAAGGCCAGGTTTTAATAAATGCTCCATCTCTTGAGGAGACATGTACAGCCCCCAGGAACACGCCCCTTCCTTCCTTTGAGTGAGAAGCCATGGGGGGAAAGGGTCAAACATGCAGGTGGTCGGTTGAACTTGGCCAAGGCCTTGTCCACATTCTCAGCCTCAGCCGCCGAACCCTACCCGACATAATGGGACCAGACCACGCTCCAGAAGTGCAGGATTCTTCAGAACATCAGGATGGTTCGGGCCCAAAGGGCATGGGCTATCACCGTTTTGAGGTCCACATGCGAGATGTTCGTTTGGGTGAGGCTGTGCATGAGCAAAGCGTTGACTGGGCTCCGTATTCCACCCGGGACGAAAGCACGCGAACCCACAGGGCAGAGGAAAGTGTCCAACAGTGACCGAGGCCAGAAGGAAATGGAGGTCTTGTGTGGGAAGCCAGCCAGCCAGCCAGCCAGGGGGCAGGACTAAGGTATGAGGACGGCCTCAGCCTCTGGGACATGCTGGCTGGCTTTCTCTTAAGTCCAAGCCAGAGAAACATTTTGCTTTCTCACAGTCACCTCAGCAGCTACACCAAGCACTTGCCTCATTCTGCTGAAAAGTAGGACCAGCTTTCCTTGTATAAAACCTAGCCTGTTTTCTGTGTGATATTTGCATGGGATCTGCAAATGTTGAAATTCCAAAAGTGCCTGCTGTAATAAATTTGTAAGTCCTTATGAGCCCATGAGATACTTTCATGTTTATATTGGAAATGCTAGGCCTGTAAAGTGCTCTGATTTCCGAGTCAATTTTTCTTCTGATGGGCATCCCACCGAGCAAGATCTGACATTTATTGCATCCTGGTAGATTTCCCTTCTGATTGGCATTTGCCATGTGCTGGAGACCCATCTCGCTATGCGAATGGAGTGGCCTTCACAACAGAGGCTTGTTGTGGGAAACCACAGACTTGCAGCACCCTTTATCACAGAGCAATAAATAACCAATCCTTTACTGCTGTCATTATTTAAAAGCACAGCTCACTTACTTAGCACCCGGTTTGGAAGCCTAGTTATGTCAATGCTCTCCATTGTACCCATATTTTAATGTTCATTTAGGCAAGATGAACAAATAGTTCCTACTGAGAAAAACAGGCAGCTTTCCTATGTGAGAAGGCCAGCACGGGGCTGATAAAGAAACCAGGCTGGGGAAAAGCCGTCGGAGTCTTGTGCTAAAGTTGTCAAATGCTAGCCTGGCAGAGATTCCACATGCAGCTTAGAGGAAGCAGCCAAGGAAGCAGGAAATGTAGTTTACTCTGATGCATTCTTGGCCCAGTTCCTCGGCTATCCTGCTGCTGCTGGTGCATCAGCTCAGGCCATGGGTTTTGCCAGTAACCTGCACGGTAGCCTGGGTTTTGCAATGCATCAAGGAACAGGTTTCGGAGGAAAGAGATCGGCAGCTTGGGCAGCTCCAAGTGGTGCTGGGTCTGCTGGCCAAACAGGGTTGTGTGTCTGTTGTTCCAACAAGGAGCCATACTCGAATGGGGACTTTGGCTACATTCGGACCGGTTGGTCCCCTAAGCCGCCTTGCTGATGGAGCTTTTCTTCTTAAAGATATCTGGCCTATTTTAGCAGCCTCAGGCTGTGACAACATAGGACATGTGCCTTTCCTCGTGGCCTGAAGACAGTAGGAGGGCCTCTCTGGATGCAGAGGAGAAAACCACTGGGGGTTCTGGAGAACTAGGATGTGGGCTGCTGATGACCCCCCGGAGCCTCCTCCTCTCAGGACAAGGGGTCAGAGTCCTCGGAGGATGAGTGTTCGAGGTCCTCGTCCACGATACTTTGATGCTTGCTACAGGAGGGGCTGCGGGGGGGGGGGGGATCAGCCAAGGGGAGTGCCAGACTGCTTCCTCAGCCACCAGCACCGCTGAAGCCAGCTTGCAGCTGGTAACTGGATCTCTGAACCTTTCCAAAGGCGCTCCTCTCCTCTCTCCTCTCCTCTCCTCTCCTCTCCTCTCCTCTCCTCTCCTCTCCCTGCATGCAGTGATCAATTCTTTGGCATTTTTCTTCTCCCCAAGTGTGGTCTGCTGGAAATCTAATTCCACCACAAGCCCATTGCTTGGGTGTTTCTACAATCATTAGAGACTAATTGCAGTTGAACTGCAGAATTTGCAGGCACAAAATCAATGCTAATGCCACCTCTCCTGCACCTGGACATCCCACTCGTCTGGCCTCTCCATGGCTGTCTTCTGTTCCCTTCCATTCCGAGCTCTTTCCAAAGGACAATCCCCATCATTGTTGCTCACCAAGGACCACACTCCAGAAGAGCACCAATCTATCCTGCCTGGGTTTCCCATCAAAAACAGTGGCTTCAACAGCTTATCACTACTTACTACGTTAGTACCAATCATATATAAAACGATGTATGGAATATACAATAAACTCCATGCTGTGGCCAAGTGCACCCTTTCCTTTCTTTGTGAGCTGCAGTCCCCACTGGCCATCAGTCCGTCCTCCAGGAAGCGCAGCCCGTGGTCTCTCATGGCTGCCCCACTATCGTAGCCAGGAATTCAAGCAGAGTATTTTGTCCTCCCGTCTTTTCCTCGCCTGCAAATGGGAAGGATTGTGGAGAAAACTATCTGGGCCTCCATGTTCTTAATTTTCTTCCCTACGGTTTTAAAGTCTGATGTAATTTCCTCAAAGCTCCTCTTGGCAGTGTTGTTAGTTCCCACATGAATGAGAAGGCAGGGATGTGTGTCAGGAGGTTGTGCATCAGTGGAAGTCTGTTAGTTGCATCAATGGTCTTTGCTCCAGGGAGACAGCACACCTGATGATTTCAAGGGTCTTTCCGACATGTTTGTTTTTCCATCTTTCACAACAGGGAATCTCTCGCAACAATCACTCTTCCCCACACAAGTGGGACGCTACGCAAGGTAAAGATTTTGGCAGGACAGAATGCCTGCCAGTTCAAGCACGCTTACGAGAGAATGCGAATTGCTACCTGCATGCTCTCCATTTCTTCTCTCTCTCTGACCTCAACTGTTTAGGATCCCTGCAGTGTGCGTGTGTGTGCGCGCGTGTGTGTGTGTGTGTGAGAGAGAGAGAGAGAGGCTCTGTGCACTTGTTGCTGCAACAGACCAAATTATCCAGTCCGATGATCCTTGGCAAAGTGGCTGATGAGGACGGAGGAGTTTGCACCTCCAGTCTGAGCAGAGCAGGAGCACAGAGTCACCCACTCCTGTCCGGGTGAGGACGCTTCTGCCCTGCAGTACCGATGGCGCCACTGCACCTGCGAGCCCATCTCCAACGGAAGGGACAGGGAGAAAGCGACACACATTTGTATCCTCACGCGCACGCACGCACGCACGCACACACACACGATGTGTACCTCCAGGGCAAACTGTGCGGCTAAGCCCATGAGGCTGGTGGCCACGGCTCTGTCCGTCAGCCGCCTGTCTTCGCACTGACTCGACTGTGCGGCGGATTCCTCCATCGCAATGAGTGCGTCAGAAGCTAAAAGGCAGCCGGGAAAGAAAACATTCAGGCCAGCGCCCCTGCCCGAATACCAGACGCAACTCCTTAACCCTCCGGCCGATTTTCCAGAGACGAGAGGTGTCCTCAGTGGAGAGCAGTCTGACTGGCCAACCCCACCCCTCCTGCGAGGGCAGAGATTTTGGCTCTGAGTGGGCCACGCTCCCCACCGGCCTTGCTCAGGTGTGCTTCAGGGTCCTGCATTTTTCCAAAACCCAAGAAGCTAACCTTTCGCTCAAAATCAGAAACTCCCGTGTTTGATCACACAAACAAACTCGAAGGTTTTAATGTGTGACCATGTGGCTTAAGTGGAACCTAAAAACACCCTGCTCTGGTTCCAAGTGGAGGACCAAATAGCAGTGGTGTTACGGAAAGGCACCTGTGTTGCGCACTCTCTGATAACCACGATTAGCCCTGGTATGAGGACAGTAATAACGGCAATCAGGCAAGTGGGAGCAACCATTCTGATCCAATGCCCCAGTCCAGGGCCGCACCCCTCTCCAAGCGCAGAAATGGAAGCTCCCTGCATTGCCAGATGCATCCCCAACACTCAAGAAACCCACAGCCTGAAATCACCAGCAGCCCCTTTGTCATCTCGCCTGCTGACAGGTTCGCTCTAACCTGAAGGTTTGCCTATCAGACTGTTCCCTGTAGGAAGCATATTTATTACGCCTGCAAACAGCTGTGAAAAACCATGAACATGTGCGTGGCTGAAGAGAAAGGCTAATGCAACATTTAGTGTAGGAAAGGGGGCAACGGACCTTAAATTCCCGAGGCTTTCGTCAGTGTAAAGGGTGTCTCATCGGAGACCAAGGCCAAGATCATCCGCACATTAGTAGTGCCGGGGTGGGGGGTTGTGAGGAGCTCCAAAAGGAGCTCCCCCAGCCGGGAGAAGGGGCTGCAAACTGGCAAATGCGGCACGGCGTGAGCACGTGCGAAGTGCCGCCCGCCCGAGCACACGGTTCCGCCTTCACACGTCTCAGACCTGTGCCGGCCCGGAAGGAACTGGCCGGGTGCGGGTGGGCAGCCCAGGGAACGCGCCGCCCCGCATGTGGCTGCCGTGGGAAGAGCGCTCCTCCCGGCGAGGCATGGCGCGCAAAGGGGCCGCTGCGTGGGGTGGGCGACGCGGGTGGGCGACGCGGGTGGGCCCTCCCAGCTCTGCCATTCCGCGATGCTGTGAAATTCCAGGAAGACGAATTATCTATAAGCCTCCTAAATAACAGCCGGCGGGGTGTCCACACAGCACTACAACTCCCGGCACCCCAGCAGCAAGACGTCCCACCCCTCTCCGGAGACGGGCCAGCGATTGGTCGTGTCATGGAGACGTATATCAGAGCACCCAATGAAAACCTCGGGGTGCTCGGGGGCGGGGCCTGGGCTCTGAGTGGCAAGTACGAAAGCCAATAGGCTCTGCCAGGCTGCTTCGAGTGGCTGTAAAAGGCGAGGGCGTTGACGTCATCGCCGCGCGCCGAAGATGTCGGGGATCCTGAGTACGGTGCTGAGGCGCCTCGACAGGGACTCGTACTGCGACTTTAGCGACTATCGCGACCAGAAATTCCAGGTGGGGGGCTTTCTGCGCATGCGGAGAGGCCCCCTCGCTCCCTGGGGCGCTCGGGAGGGACGCGCTCTGCCCACGACCAGAGGCGCTCTGCTCTTCGGCCCGCAGAGCGCCCGCAAGCAGGCGGCCGGCCTGGCCGGGCGCGGCGCGGCGCGGCTCGAGGGGGCGCCTCCGCGTGGGCCGAAGGGGGGCTCTGGCGGGCGGGGAGCGCCCGAGGCCTGGGGGGGGGGGCCATGCGGGGCCGGGCCGGGCCGGGGCCCCTCTCTCCCGCAGTCCGCTCGTGCGGCTAGCCGTGCCCAGATCGGACTGGGCTACCCTTCATGCACGTCGGCTGTGTTAGGCCCTCTCTATAGCAGGCGAAGTTCTTCTACATGGTGTTTGCAGTATATGCAGTATATATCCTGCATCGAGGCTCCATGTGTTAAGATAAACTATTGCAACTAGGAACGCCTATTTTCTCTTTGAAAGCAATTGTTTTCAAGAGTGAACTAGGCATATTTAGCCTGGAGAAGAGAAGGCCGAGGGGGGACATGGTATCCCTCCATAAGTCCCTCGAAGGCTGTCCCAAAGAGGAAGATCAAGGTCCTTCTGGCTGATGCCAGAGCGCAGGACACGGAATAATCAATTCAAGTTGCAACAACCCAGATTCAGGCTGGACATCAGGAAAAGCTTCCTCACTGTCCGAGCTATAGGATAGTGGGACCAGCTGCCCAGAGAGGTGGGGGCTCTCCCACACTGGGGACATTCAAAAAGAAGCTGGGCAGCCCTCTGAGTGGGAGGGTGTGACGTGGTGACCTGCAACAGCAGGGGGCTGGACCCCATGACTTTCCCAGCCCTTCCAACTCTACTATGAACATATGAAATTAATTTGTGAATCAGCTAGAGGTATAGCCAGTTGTGCTAGCTGGGGAATGCTTGGAGTTGTAGGCCATTTTTCTATCTAAACATGCACAGGGTTGCTCCCTAAGTCTCCTGCAACTAAGTAAGCAGCATTTCACCGACAGCCTAAATAATTGTACTTATGCCCCTGCCTGTGGGGTGCTGCTTGCTGCCCCGGCAGGGCCTGGGGAAGAGGCCCTCTCCTTTGCTCCTAACTATACCCAGCACCATGCAGCAGGCATGGCAGGAAAGATCAGGTTTATAAGCTTTGCTACAAAACTGTCCTCACCCGTTACTAGTGTTCCTTAAGGTACTTGTTCATAAGTTTGTGTGAATGATCAATTAAGTGCAACAGTTTAGCAATCTTGTGTCTAACCTCCTCCCCATCCCCGACCGTCATTGTCAGTGGAGCTGCTTTCCCCAAACTAAAATATTAATTTTGGTCTTCAACTAATGGAGATGACATAATTCCAGTGAATGAGAACTGCATAACCTGCAACAGAAGTAGTCGAATCCCGCTAAGTCTAACGCTCCCTGCAGCACTAATTCCACCTTGCCTCAGTGTGGTGCCCTCCAGATGTTTGCGACCAAAACTCTCATCCTGTTTTGATCCAGAGAGTTACGACTACTTGCTTCATGGTTAGGGGCCTTCTGCTTTTTGGCAACAGATGCCAGGCTCGGCAGCAGGTCCTTCGTGCGCAGCTGGTGCTCTCAGGAGCATCTGGGTTGCCATTGGACAACACCGGCTTTTGGTCTGATTCAGCACTCCAGATTATAGGTCCTTGTAGTGCATCTGTGACAACAGTGCTCCTGTAGCACAAGAGGGGAGCCTGCTTTGGGGCATGCGACCCTGCGGAGAGCTGGCTGGTGGGCCGAAGTCTGCCATATCGCTGGACTTTGCCGATGAGCCAGACTGGCTCATCTTCCAAACAGACCCACCTGGTCAGTCCCCTGCCCTGAGTGAAACAGCACATGGATGGATTTTGGTCCCCCCAAATCCGTGGAACCGCTTGGCTGTTCCTTGGAGCATGGCTTCCTCCACCAATCCAAGATGGAGAGAGCCTTGGGCGTGCATGGGAACAGCGAGAAGACTCTGCTGCCCTGCCCTGCTCAGCTCAGCTGGCCCCAGAGGGTTTGCTGCCATCACGCACCTGCCACTGCTGGAATTCGGTGGGGGGGAGGGGGCTCTGAGCAGCAAGAGGGCTGCAGGCCAGGGCCTCTGGAGCTGCTTGTTGGACCACCTCGCCTCCAAGGATAGAAAATTTGTTCTGCTTTTCCTCTGCTAGCACTGCACTGCCCATGGCATCCAGATAGAGTTGCATGCCCTACAAAGAGCGGGAGGGAATGCACCATCTAGGGATGCAGTTGGTCTCGGCGGAGGCATCAGAGGTCACAAGAGATGAGGGGTGTGGTGATCAGGAAGAGAGTGCCTTCCTGGTGATGGTCCCAAGGACGTAGAATTCCTTCCTCAGGCCCATCTGGGGCCAGCAGTGTCATCGTTTGACAGTAGGCGAAGATGTTTTCATTCTCCTTGGCCTTTTCATTTATTTTCTTGTACTGTATTTCTCTTTTAGCATGTGTTACGGGATCAGGAGGGAGGGGCACGTCGAAGGCTTCCTGTTCCCTGACTTCCATGCAGGACCCACAAAGGAAGGAGGGTTGCTCACCGGGTTTTGTTGCTGATTGCAGTCACTTGCCGCTGCCAGCTTCCTGAAGTGCCCAGTTCCTGCACCGGCTCCAGTTCTCCCCCTTCCAGTCCTAAGGCAGGGAGTTGCATTGTGGCTGGCATGACAAAGAGCTTTTCTTCCCAGGCTTCCCCTCGCAGCTTCTCTCAGGCTGTTTGGGCCACGGGTCTCTTGAGCAGGAAAAGCCGGCTTGCATCTTCTGGCATCCTCCCTCGGAGCCTCTTTCCCGTCACTCCTCTTCCTCTCTTCCCTCTTGGCACCTCTGTCCTTTCCTTTCTCTTCTGCATCCCCCGTTCCAAGCAGTTCTCCCCTCCTCATCCTCCCTTCACCACTGCTACCCCTCCCACCTCAGCTGTTCCTGCCCCGGCTGGCAATTCCACTCGGACGCATGCATCTTTGTTCCGGCATTTGGAGCCCGTGCCTCTTCCTGCTTGGGGAAATGCTGGGCCTGGCATCGTCCCTGCGGCTTCACCTCCTCTGGATGCCAAGGGAAAGCAGGTGAGCCCCTCTACTCCTTCACATATCCCCCCAAGAGGGGTTCACCAGGTCCCTGGCAGGAAAAGAAATCAGCGTTAGCAAGCTGAGTACTGTGTCCGTGTTGGGCCATAAAGGCTTATGGCTGTAACGCCAAATGCCAGAGACTGGGGCTTGTCGTCCTCCCTTCTGTTAAGCCGCTGCAGGGGGGCACAGTCAGTGGCCACCGTGAGTGCCGCCCCCCAGATAGCGCCTCAGTGCTGGGACCGCCCATTTGATGGCCAGAGCTGCTCTCTCCACATTGTAGCTTTCCGCTCGGGTAGGGCACAGGGGGCTCAGTTGCCCCTTCCCCTTGCACTCGGACAGCTAGAGTCGAAGCATCTGTTTGGAGGATGGAAGGTTGGGAAATACCCGGCTACTGTAAGAGAGACCAACGGAGGAGACGGGTTCTTCGATCCCGAGAAGCTGCTTCATTGCTTTGGACCATTATAGGTTATAGCTCTGTTTTTTCCTGGTCACATCTGTCAAGGGTGTAGCTTTGGAGGAAAAATAGAGAATGAATCATCCATACTAGCTAGTGAGTCCCAGAAATTGTCGCACCTCCTTTTTGGTCCGAGGCTGTGGCCGTTGGCTTCACTTTCGGCCGTATCTGACGTTGCCCTACGGTAAAGCCCAAGTGTTGTACCTCTTGCCGAGCTGCTTTGCTTTCTCTGGGGTCAGCTTGCCTCAAAGCGGCTGATACTTGCTGGAGGTGATCTAGGTGCTCCTCCCAAGTGCGAGTGAACACTACAGTATCGTCTGCGTAGGAAGCTGCCCAGTGGGACAAGTGCCCCAGCACCCTGTCTGTAAGCTGCTGAAATGTGGCAGCCACCCCATGCCCTCCAGACCCACGCGGGTGGCAGAAGCGGTCTTTCCTTTGCTCTCCTTGGTTAATGGGATTGACCAATAACCCTCGGTGATGTTGAAAGCGGAAAGAAAATGCGCCTGTCCCAAAGGATCCACCAGCTGGTCCGTCTGTTTTTCTTGTAAGCCATCCAGAGACTCTCTGGCATTGGACAGTGTATAACAACTTTAAACAAGCAACTGCCTGGGGCACATGGTAGGTGTCAAACTTGGACACAGAGTTGACCTTCCAGAAATTGATACAGAAGCAGGTGCTCCCATCAGGTTTGGGCACCAGAACCGGCTGACCCCTCCATGGACTCCCGCGTCCCTTCCAACCCCTGCCTGAAGCATCTGCTCTGCCTCCTTTCTCGTCACTTACTTCAACCGAGGCAGGTAGGGCCGCATCAGTAACCTGAGAATGGCCCCGGAGTTGTCTCGATCTGGTGGGTTATGACCCTGTGCACCCTGGCTGGTCCGCGGAGGCCTGTGCAGGCTCCCTTTCCAAAGCCCCTCAGCTCCTTCCCAGCAAGTCGGCACTTAGGAGCCCATTTCACCTTTTGCTTTGCAAACTGGCCTGGAGGCTGGTGGGCAGTGCATGAACTTGGTCCCAAGGTAACTTGTTTCTCCAGCTTTATTTTTGCCCATTTGACTATGGCCGACGTTGGCCTTTCTGGTCTGAGCAGTGCTGAACAGCTCTTGGTGCCCAGTAGTGGAAGCATGAATGGTTTAACTGGGAGCCCTGCACTGAGCCGGGGCTTGGGCCTGGTGGTCTTCTGGCTCCTTCCAGCTCTCCTATCCTGTGATTCTATTTGGATGCTCTCTTTTTTCTCTCCTTTTCCCAGGGGGGGCGACACCTCCAGGAGAAAGCCTTGAAGAACTCCTGCACACTCTATGTGGGCAACTTGTCCTTCTACACCACAGAGGAGCAAATCCACGAGCTCTTCTCCAAGTGTGGGGATATCAAACGCATTGTCATGGGGCTGGACAATGTGAAGAAAACCCCCTGTGGCTTTTGCTTTGTGGAGTATCCTTGGCCGGTGTTTGTGGTGGCAAGTGATGGCCCGGGCAGCGGCCTTTTGGACTGTAGCGCAGCGGTTCTGGGTGATGCCAAACGGGACGGAATGTGGGCGCACCTGGCTCCCCCGGTCCCGTGTGCCTGCAGCGAGCAGGTGACAGAAGGAGCCTCTGCCCTGGCAGCGCATGTTGCTGCTTCAGCCGTGCTTGCCCGTGTGCTGACCACCGGGCTCGTATGCTGCTTTGGAGGAGACAGAGTGGTGCTAGGAGCACGGGGAGCGCTTTCTCCAGCGCGGCCCGGCGCTCTGTTCGGGCAGTGGCTCTCGCTCCGCCTGCTGGCAGCAGCTTCTGCCTGCAAGCCTCAGGCAGAAGTGCTCCCCCGCCCCGATGCTGGAGGTGGGTCTCGCGTGCAGCGCCTTCGCTCTGCCGCCGGCTGCAGCCCCTCAAGTGGGGACTGGACGAGCCGCTCGGTGCGACTGCCTTGGCGCACACGATGCTGTGCGTGGTGCCGAGACGCGCGTCGCTGGCCGATCGTGGGGCTGGGGTGGTCCATCGCCGGCTCCTCAGCCTCGGCTGGGGCTCCTCCAGATGATCCCGGGAGTCTTCCTTACAGCGCCACTGCAGATACTACACGAGAGCAGAAGCCGAGCACGCCATGCGGTTCATCAGCGGGACCCGGCTGGACGACCGCGTCATTCGGACGGACTGGGACGTAGGGTTCACGGAGGGGCGGCAGTTTGGCCGCGGAAAGACGGGTGGCCAGGTAAGGGTGGCCTGGCTGTTTCCGGGTCCCCGAAAGGGATCTGGCACGAAGTGGAGGCAGGAGCTTTGTCTTGTCTGTTTCCCTTCTTCCAGGTGCGAGATGAGTACCGGACAGACTACGACGCGGGGAGAGGTGGCTTTGGCAAGATCGTTCAGATGCAGAACAAAAATGCACAGATGATGACCTAACAGCTGGTCGGCTTTCGGGGAGGAGGGGAGGAATCCCCTTGGTCTTCTGCGTCACAGGAGACGAGAGGGCTGCGCCTCTTGGCCTCTTGTGTCCCAGTGACTTGCCCCTGCCCCATCCTGGGGCCTCCCGCCTGTCCTAGCAGCCTGGAGTGCAGCGCCTCTGGAGTCGCTGGAAGGTGCAAGAGGACGCGGCGCTCGCGGGCCGCTGCTCCTGCATGGTGGGCGTTGCCAATGCGTCGGTGTCTGTCGGCTCTCCTTCAGAGCCCAACCCCAGTCCCGCCCCCCGGAATTGAAATAAACCGCCCTTTTAACACCCGTTG